CCCGCCAGCGGGCTCGCTCCTCGGTGGGGAACCTCGGGCCGTTTGCCGGGACGGTCCTCGTGCCGTCCGGGCAGGGGGTCTGCGGCCGCGGGGCTCTGCTTCCTCGGGTGCCTCGGGAAGGCGGCGGAGGGTGGGTTTGGGTCTTGCCGTGGCCGAGCGCAGCGGAGGTGGCGGGGGCCACAGGGCGCCTCTGATGGGTGACGAGCCTTTCTGGCTGTTGATCTTTCTTACTTGGGCGAATTTCATCCAGGTTTCTGGGAGTTTTGGTCCCTTGTACGTCTAGCATCAACTATATCACTTCATCATATTTCAACTTTGACGTCTGATGTTAAATGTCTGAAACTTCTGATTCCAAGATAATCTAGTGAATTTTATATCTTCCATCGGTTGCCTTAGAGTATAGGTATTGACTGGACTTCTTGGAGAAAAGTAGTGATGTGAGGACACATCAGAGTTCAAAATATTAGCTCATTGAAATGCGAAAATGCTTTTGTGTTATTTTAGTGATGCCTTATTGAGGAGATGCAAAACCTTAGAGTAGAAATAATTTTATATTTGTTTTACAGCAGTTCTGTTTTCGCTTGAGGATAGTTCTGGTTAGAGAACTATCGCTCAATAGTTTTCAGTTGAGAAGAGAGAGAGAGACTTGCTCAATTACGAAATTAATCAGGATGGCTCACTTAGAGCCTTGTGGTGTTTCTGTCATGATTACTTTTCTAGTCACTGCTAGGAACAGTAGTAGTGTTTTCTTAAAACACCACGAAATTTTAGCGTAGCTGTAATGCCGCTGGTACAGAACTACGATCTTTTGGAAATACTGTGAAAACGGCTGTCGTGGTGAGCTGGTTCTGCTTGAGAGGTTTGTGTCAGTTGGTAGGGTTGATTACATGGCAAGAGCAGGTTTTTCTCGTTAAAGTTTTTCAGTGTTAATTAAAAGTTTACTGTAGTGAAAACTGCGATCCATGCATTGCAATGCATTGAATCGGTTCTGGACTTTGATTCTGCTTCATAATAAACAGTGCCTTTTAACATAAGCAGATTTGACTGTGTATATATAATAAATTGCTCCGAGTTGTTTACACTAAACAGCTGCATGCCCCGTAGCGAAGAACGCTGCATAGAGGCCTGTTTGGTAATTAAGAGTATTCGAAGAGCAAAATGGAAAAATAAGGATTTCTTGCTGTCAGAGTTTGGAAATCCTCATTATGATGCAATTGATTACACCACTGATTAGTGATTATTATATCACTGTCCAAAAACTAAAGGCTGATGAAAAGTTTTAGTTGTTTTATTTCCAGCATCTGATTCCAATTTTGTTTGTTATTCAAACATTCCAGAGTACAGTGTAGCTGAACCAAAAACATCACCTCTCTGATCAACGGGGTTTTTTTATCTTAAGTGAGTTCAAGGTCACTTAAGGAAGACAAAATGCGTGACTTAAAGCTTTGGTGCATATTCCCTGCCTCTCAGTTTGAGATTTTTGTAAGTCTTTTTTTACGTTTCGTGTGTCTTGACCTTACCAGATTTTATATCTTTTGTGTTAAAGCAGTGTAAATAAGAATGAGTTCTGTAGGCTTAATCATGGCTAGTTCATTACAGAATCTGTGATATTTCATTAAAAAAAAAGTCGATCAAGCTCTTGTAGATTACATGTGACTTTTGCTTGCATCTGTGGGAAGTCTTGACACAGACTTAAAGTTTATAACTTGGAAAGCGTAGAGAGTAATGTAGTCCATAATCTTGGAGTGGACACCGCCTTAGTAGACCTTTTGATTTATGTGGGATTATGTTGGGATCGTTGACTGTTTAAAGGACATAAATGTCTCCCTGCTCATAAGACAGTTTATAATTAAGAAAATGTAAGGCGCTGTCTCTACTAGCATAAGGAAGCAGCACTTTCTCACATGGAAAACTGTTACTTTCAATAAAGGTAGGAGTAACTTAAAGACAGGTTTTAACCTTAGTCTTATATACGTTAAGTCAGTAAGATGCAATTTTGTGGAAATCAAAGCTTACATTCTGCAGAAACTGATGGCCCTTTTCCGTCACGTGTGCTTTCCTGTAAGAATTGATGAGTGAACGTCCTAAGGCCTGATTAAAGCTCTGCTTCAGCAAACCATTTCACCATTTGAATATGGGTAACTCCACTGAAGATGACTTAATTGATACTATTTGTATACTTAAGGCTTTGGAAGTGGCAAATAATTCGCATGTATGTAGTTCTGTATAGGGCTTAAGCAACATTTCATTTCCTGTAGATAACTATTCTTGTGGTTGATAGGATATTCAGACACTGTATTTCAGACAGTCAAAACAAATACGGTTGTTTTTTCTCTAAAGACATCTTTTATGGCTCCAAACACACTTGTATACCGTATTTCTTTTTTAAATAAACTTTGTATATATACAGGATCCTTGATATATGTGATTTAAAACCAAGTGAGCTAGCTCACATGCATTAATTGTTGTCTACCGTGTTTAAACAGCTATTATATCATTGGTTGTTGTTGAAGCCTTTAATGACAGTGAAAGAAAGTGGGAATTTCTATTTTTTGCAGGCATTTTTAATTTTTCTACGTAGCAAAAGAACATCTTATGACACTTTTCTAGCAAGCTTAAAATAATGTAACGGTTTCTGGGGTAAAACAGTAACTTCAAGGAAATGAAGATTATTCTACTGTACCCTATGACAGTGTGTAAAGCACAAGTGTTCTGAGCTGATGTTTTCACTGCCCCATTTTCCAGCTTAGGTGCAACATAAACTATTTTAATTAATACTGTGTCACAAAGGTTTTGAGATGGCCAATTGAATTCTGCCAAGATAGAGTCTTTTGATGAAAACATATCTTTATTGATTGTAGAAGAAGAAAATCATTCTTAAAATGAAATCCAGAGAAAAATCATATCCCTCAGAGCAAATTTCTGAGTGGCAGGCTGAGATTAACATCATAAAATTGAATTTGTGCTGCAAACCTTTGATGTAATCAGCAGCTGGGAGATGGTGTTGCCCTTACTGTGCTCCTTCTGATTGTGGTGAATTATTGTGTGGAATGAAATAAGTGTTTCTTGTGTCACTCGTTCAAGAAATACAAACAAGGTATTACTAGGTGGTTCTTGCTAGTTAAAATGGGTTGTATTGATTCCTGGTCCCAGTCTCTTGCTCCCTTGGACTGCAAAAGCAGTACATTCACACCCCAGGGCAGGTCTGGGTGTCACTCAACAGTGACTCCTCCGGCCGATTAAGGTGTAGCCCTGACAGGTCTCGAGGGAAGTCCCATTAAATCTTAAACTGGAAGTGCAGTGGCAGGCAGGCAGGGTCTCCAGGATGGAGCTGCAAAAAGCAAAGTGAGGGAAAAAAGGGGTGGATTACTGAGGGTTCTGGCAGAATATATTAAAACACGAGGAGGTGGGACATAGGATAGAAATGTTGATTACTGGAATATTTTGCTTGTTGCCTGCTCTCTGATTAGATGTATCAACTAAAATATTTGAAATATAGAAATATTTTTGCTGCTGTACCCACAGAGAAGCAGACTCCACATCTTAAAGGAGCCAGTTATTGGTTCTGTTTTACGATATGCTAAATACGAACTAGTTTTTAATTATCTTTTTAAAAATCTCTTGATAAATCTTTCATTGTTTTACTTTTTGCTATTAATTGCTTCAAATGTCTTTTTGTTACCTTTGTCTTGTCTTGCTGTGTTAGTGTCATTTCTTTGGTCATCATTCCCTTTTCGCTTACCTAGCCTCATATGTCTTCTTTGTCCTTTCCCTGCATTACACACACTGCCTTCTTCCTTGTAGCCTCTATATCTCCATTCTATTTCCATTTCTCTGTTAAGCATCTTTCTCACCATTGTATTTCTCTTTTCTAATTTATTCCATTGCTCGCACCTATACAAATGTGCATGTACCCCGCTGCTTCACAAATTGCAAAGTATTGTTGACCTGTATTTTCAGATTCATGGACACAATAGGCTTCTGAATAGCAACTTTATATATAAATAGCAAATCTGTGAGCAGCATCATGAGCATCATTGTGGTACGTCTGCAGGCTTACAAAGACAGCATTATGTCACTTCTGTATCCTTAAATTTTGTACTTTAGATACTTCTATCGACTATTTTGTAAATGCGATATATTTTATTATTTATGCCTCTTAGATGAACTTGCTATATATTGTGGACAGTGGGCGAATATAGTGTTTTAGTTTGGGAAAGGTTATATATTTGCTGATTACCAGAGATAATATACAGCATCCTTAAGGAGAGTGCAACATTTACATCACAAAGTAAATTGAGTAAGTTGTGAAAGCAATATAGAATGGATCAGTAGACTGCAAGTCAAAGCTATTTTGAAGGAAAATAATTAGCTTTTTACTAACAGTACAAAAATATCGATAGAACTTTTATTTTCTTATATAGACAGTAAGAGAGAATGTGTCAGATAAAGCCAAAGAATAGACAGGAATAGGAGAATGAGATTGGTTAGGAGCACACAAACCTTAGGAATTTGTCATGAAAACCTACCAGGCTCTGCCTAAAATTTACTTCCAAACAGTTTACTGCAATGATGAATCTAAAGGGGTGGTGGTAGGGGAATTTATATTATTTTACTTGACAAACAAGAATATTGAAGCCTGGGCAAATAGAATTTTGCTAGACTGAGAAAACATGCTGCTCTTATAAAATTGTCAATAATTGTTTTTAATAATTTTGGCCCATCTATCCTGTCTTGGTTTTTTTCCAAATATTTGTATTTTTAATCCAATACAAACAGTTAAATTCTGCCAATCTCTTAATATTTTCAGGACTGTAAGCCAATCTCTGCATCTTTTTTGTGCCCGCGCTGATTGCCATGCATTTAACTGGACTTTGAAACAACTGATCTTGTATTGATAAGTTTTTTTTGTCAGGTTGACTGTTACCTGTATAGTGATATTCCATTGCACAAAGTCTTTTCTCCTTCTACAAATAAGCTGTAAAATCCTATTTAGTAGCTTTTGTTATGGGCTGTAGCTATGAGAAGGTTTCTGTCACAACCAGTGTTTTATTATGTGAACTGTTTGAGATTAGGTCTCTGAGAATTTCAGTTCCTGGTGTTAAGGACCTTGATGTATGTGAGAACTGATGAATTCTGAATTAACTTAAAAGTCAGTGTATGTATTTTCTTTATCAAGAAATGTGATTCTTATAACTGTAGTTAATAGTTTAATGTTGTTCAGGGTGTTTCATACTGGAAAGCTT